CAGCCAGGGTGGGTCCATGTTTTGCAGTTGGAAGAAATGATAAGAAACAAAAACAAGTAGTACGTATCAGTGTATTTGATTCTATATGGTGTATGTTTAAGTCCCATGTTTGTAGCTTGCAATTGATGTCCAGGTGAGGGTGGGTGAACTGGGTGAACTTGGCGCTGCCACAAGGTGAGGTAGCTGGTTATATTATTAGCACTGGAACCACTGCAGCGGCAATGTTTTTTATTCATGTTCATTTACATGCACATGATTCACATGATTGCAAAGCCCCGTGTTCTCTGACGTTTCCTTAAAACATGTTCTTTGCAACCCCTAGGTTTGCCCGCGGCCAATCCCGCATATCCTTTGACATGCTCAAATCCCTTCGCAGGGTTTAAGTTTTTTACTTTCCAAAACAACAAATACCAAAACCCTAAAACCTAAAACCCTAAAACCTAAAACCCTAAACCCTAAACAAAAACCCTAAATCCTGAAAACTTAAAGTCAAAATCACTGCGTATAGCAAGTGTTTTCATTCATCCTCTGGTGATGATTATATATATCATATTGTTTGGATGTGTTGTTTGAGTGTGGGCGAACCAGGGGGTTGCGGGGAACATGTTCAAATGCTATGTTTGCCACCCTTCGAACTACAAAATCGATGCCACATAAATTCTGGTATCCTGGGTTGTAGATTAACATTACCCATTTCCATCAAACACTAGGACTTTCCAACTAGTGAATCTTAAACTATGAGTATATAATTACTACCCTCTGGTAAATTAACATAGCTATTGAAAATGACCATTTATGGTGGATTTATATACCCATTGTTTCAATGGTGATTTTCCATAGTTATGTTAGTTTACCAGAGGGTAAATGTCAACTATAACTTGCAACTACCAGTTTCAGTTGTTCCTGAGGCTTCCGAAGCCTATCAAACAGCGATGCACGACAGCTGCTTGGGACCCCGGTTTCGAACGGCTTTCGGTCGCCGGGGATGGCGGTGGTCTCAATTTATCCTATTGACCTGGGATTTCGTGAGATTTTGGGATTCAAAGGGATATAATTATGAGATTATTACGGGAAATGATGAGATTATAGGGCTATAATTATGGGATATCATGGGATTGTTATGGGGAATGATGAGTAATATACCCGCTGGTAGAGCTTCACATAGCAAAACTCACAATTTTTGGACAGGTAACGGTAGGCAATGAAAAAAAAATGGTTGCCCTCTCACAAACAAATGCGGCAATGAATAATGAGTTTTATACGTAAATCATCTCCAAACGTTAATTTGTTTCTTGCCATGTTTGAGCGCAGTCCATGATTCGACTGTTGATGATTGGACATTCCTTTGTTTTTTGGGGATACTTCATGTGTGCAGCCATTAGCGGTCCTGGCTTCCCAATAGGTCATATGGGTTTCTCCGAAACTGGTGGCCGCCATTCGTGGCCATTTTAATAGGGAAGATGTTAACATGTTTTTTCAACCATTGGATGTACCTGTAAAGAGCGTTTTTTCAGAGAATCCCTGATGAGCCCAATGTACAAACCCGTACGTTTCTGATGGATTGAGACCACCAAGCTAGATCGGTTCTATCTTGTTCTGGACCCTGGGGTTTCTTGTACCCTGCGGTGGTGTACATGTATACACACCTATCCACATTTATGTATTATACATATACACGCGTATATCCAGTTGTAGTGTGATTTTTGCTTATGAATTCTATCTAGGATGATGATCCCAATTGACATGCTAACTTTTTCCGATGGATTGACACCACAAACCAGACAAAGTATGCGTTCTTAGGACATGTACTGTGCGTTTCTATTGTGGTTGCCATTGTTACCAGATGCTTCCGATACAGGAGCTGTGGCTGAAACTGTTGACAAGGGCAGTTGCTAATCGATCTACCCATAGGTGTGTGTTCCAGTGTGTAAGTAAGTAATATATAAGTTTATTTTAGATCCCAAGCACATCATATTATGTTTTTTTTTAAATGTAAATATGTATTAATATATATATATATATTGAATAATTATAGCAATGATTGTAGCAATCCCAAAAATATGGAAGGATCATATCTTAAAAGAAACTGGGAAAAATAAACCAATGCCGCATCATTTTCGGGGTTACTATGCATAATAATAGTGGTTAATAAGAGTACTTAGACGATCCAAGTACTCTTGAAAATGGACTGAAGTCACATATGTGACCACATCTTACATCATTTGTCTAGGTACCCTCTGGTAATTTAACGTAGCTATTGAAAATCACCATTGAAACAATGGGAAAATCCACTATTAATGGTCATTTTCAATAGCTATTTTGACAAAACCAGAGGGTACCTGCTGTAGCAAAGCTGGCGCCATGTTGCCTTTCACGGCGTTGCCTGCTCTGCCGCTGAATCGTCCCGACAGCGCGCGGGGACACGGCACGCCGCGGGAAGTGCAGCGCCTACCCTTGGGACAGTGGCTGAAGGGTGGGTTCTACTTGGGTCATACCATGTCATACCTGGTAACTGGGATATAGTGGAGACTACATGACTATAAGGAATTATAAGGACATATATGGATATATTATATATAGTATCTACTTGATGTCTCCAAACTGCGATATTTTACGTAGGAGATTCATGGAACAGAAAGGGACGCTCTCAGTCCCCACGTTTCTCAGTCCCCACGTTTCTCAGTTCCCACGCTTCCACATGTCTGGACAGACGACGTGACAGATTACATATGAATCTTTGTTAGGAAAAATGTTACGTCTACGGAATTCATGCTTATGAATCTGTAGTGTCACTAACAAGCAGACTTGAGGAACACCTGACTCTGATTATATTTCTAATTCACAGGAAAGAAAGAGCCACACAGAAAACAAACATTTTTTTTTGGGGGGGGGGCTGACCCCCCCTTTACCTCTCCCAAGACGGCCTATAGAGCAAACCCAGATATATTATTTTCTTGTCGTGGAGCTTCTTACATTTGTGTTCTGTTCTTGTTCTTGTTTCTTGCTATTTTTCTTGTTTCTGTGGATATCTCATATGCTTACCTGATGCGTCCTGATAATTTGCTTTGAAGAGTGTTTGCAAACGCAACGGACAGGCGTATAAACTAACAAGGTAGACATACCATAGAAATCCCATAAGAACCCAGTGGAAATCATATAAGAATAACATATGAGACTGTAGCAGATAACATGGCCCAGAGAGCCACCTAGAGCTACCAAGATAGCCCAGCTAGGGGAGGGGAGGAATCATCTGAAAATATCATAGATATAACATAGAATTAGTATAGGTACCACAAAGAAATCCCATAAGAATATCATAGATTTCCCTCAGACATCTCATAGGAATTCCATAGAAATATCATAGACATACCATAGAAATCCCATAAGAACCCAATGGAAATCCCATAAGAATACCATACGAGGCTGTAGCAGGCAAGATGGCCCAGAGAGCCACCTAGAGCCACCAAGATAGCCCATCTAGGGAGACACTGTCCTGTCTCCTATTCTGTTTGATTGGTCTCTGCCCCATAGTAAGCAGACTGGGATCCCCTCCATTGCTTCGATATCCCATGGCCTTGACAAGAAAACAAAAGGAGAACAGGTATAAAGGGAACACGAAGAATAAGATGAAAAAAAATCTGGATGGCTCTCTGGGCTATCTTGCCTCAAGCAATGTCATCTGTCTCTAGGTGCCTCTCTGGGCTATTTTGTCTATTACAATGTTGTCTGTCTCCAGATAACTCTCTGGGCTATCATGTTGGCTGCACACTCGTCTGTACCTTGGAGGCTCTTTAAGCCATTGAGTCTTCAGCCTCATCCTTGTCCGTTACACGTGCATCTGTCTCTTGGCAACTCTCTAGGGTATCTTGTCTGCTAGAAAAGTCATTTGTCTCTAGTTGGCTCCCTGGGCCATCATGCATGCAATCATACTTGAATGTTCAACCAAATAAGGATCACGATCCATATTCTGCAAAAGGTCAAAAAAAATTAAATAACAATATCTATAAAACGCCAATAAATAGAATTATATTCACGATACTTCTAATCTGTAGTTCAGCTGCAACAAATTCCGGATCGCTTGTCACACTGCCAGCATCCACTCATGCTGTTTGTTGATTCTGACTGTGCTTTCTCATGTGCAGTCTGGCTCTGCATATCGCTCGCTCTATAAACTTGTGTAAAAGATTCTTCGAAGCAATGGCCTCTGGACCACCTCCTATGCTTTCCGATACCCAGCGTTCCATGAAGAGGACAATGGCGCGAGATGGGATGGTGCGGAAATATGACGAGATCATTCTGCGCTATGCCAATGTTCAACCTTTCATCCCTCGCGTCGATGACATCGTGCCAAAGAACATCTGGGAACGACAAATGCAACGAGCCAGAGAGCTGTTACGTTCCATCCAAGTCTGTGACGAAGAAGGCCGTCGGCAAGATCTTCACCGCATCGTTCGCCGACTTTGCCCATTCGAGGTCGATGAGCATGCTCGTTTTCGTCCGATGTTACCTGATCCCGCTGATGACTGTGCAGATAGTGAATGGATCAATGCCAATCTTCTTTTCTTGCAATTAGTATGGACTTGATCGTCTCGGGCGATTGTTCCAGTGATGCCACATTTATGAACACGTCATGGAAAGACGTATCAGCATATGTCTCTCCGTGCTAGCGATTGGACTTGGATGGTCGGAAAAGAAATTACGTGCACTCTGTCTTGTGTTGCATGTTGTCTTCCAAACATTCTCGAAACTCTGCATTCATCATTGCATGTCAACATTGGCAGCCGCATTTTTGATTTGTGTTAGATGTTGTCTTTCGAGTGTTCTCGACTGTCAGCATTCATCTTTGCCTGTCAAGTATTGGTCCGCATATTACTTATGTGCGCATGAACTTCGACAGTCTCGTCGATCATGTTTGTGTTTCATATGTTTACTCTCCCGCAGCACGCCTGACCAGCTCACGAACTTCCTAAGTTTTGTCTTTTGTGCGTCCATCGTTGCTCATGTCTGAGTCAGTGGGGTTGACTCAAGAGATCGAGATGGCGATGGACGCCGACTATCCGGATGGAGCACATCTCCAAGCCTCATCGCCCGAAGTGCAACCGCCCGAAATCGATGCGCCTCCTGCGAAGCGTCTACGTGGTCGTGATCTGTTTCTCGGACGTATGTTTCCAGCTTTCCAGTATTCGGATTTCTCTAGCCATACAGTTTCGTATTTCATGTTGTTCATATGGCTGTGGCAGACCGCTTCATAGACTTGAGTTGTCTCCTGCTTTTCTTTCAGGTTCCGTGCGTTTTCCGATGTGCAGCGCTCTGCCCATCTCGCTCCTCCTCCTCCTGATGTTCGACCTGAACAAGCCAAATCACTCTTGGATGTATGGAAGAACTATCGCACATGGGGTAGCAACAATTATCCAAATCTTCCTGTCCATGTTCGCACAATGATGGAGCTCATGAACTGCATCGCATCCATGAATGTTTCCAACTACCAAATGTCGACGAAGCAGAAGCTTCTTCTCATTATGCTTGTTGATGGTGAACACTGGCGTGCACATGATCGTCAAATGTTCTACTATGAGAATGGTGTGTGGAAGATGAAGCCGTCTCTCACCATCGAAGTCTGGGATCTATTTCTTGCTGTTGAAGGTTTGTTGTTGACCGTCTCGAAGCGCTTCGAAGATCAAGAAGGAGATGCAAGACCAGCATGGAATTGGAATGCTATTCGGGATGTTGTCTCTGATACGATCCAAGGACATGTCCATGACGCTCTCCATTTCTTCGGGAATGTGGCCAAAGAAGCAAGTGACCATCTGCGGCAAGTCACATCCAACAAGGCATGGAAAGCACTTTGGCTTCGTCGATGTGCAGACATGCTAGCTTCATTCCGAGTGAATTGGGATTCGAACAAGGTCCAGTCACTCTCAAAGCTTTTTCTTCTTGAATGGGATACTCCATTGCCAAAGTCACAGGGTGTTTGCTTCAGAGACGTGTACTTGGATGCAGATTGGAAACCTGCAAGCAAAAGCCCGTCCAATGACTGCTACATGCATGTGGACTATGCCTTCTACATAGAAAACCTCTTGCAGGAGTATCCGAACATCAATCTCCAACAGCATCAAGAAGGATTACGTTTGTTCTTGGAGTCGCTCTACTTTCAGAACGAACATATCTTTCAAGTGAAACTTTGTTTTTTACATGCCGCATTCAAAAAGGCTTGCACTTCAAAGATGATCTTCGAGATTGGCAAAGGCGGCGATGGCAAGGGGATGGAAGCTTATCTTGATCGTGCTGTATTAGGTGAAGATCAATCTGCAACTTTGGATTGTGGCGTGTTCTTGGATCGACACGCAAGTCTGCCGAGTTCGCATGGAACAAGGCGAATGTGCGTATCCAGGAAATGGATCAGCACGCAAGATTCGTTGCAGATCTTTGGAAAAGATTCATCGTCGATGAAGAAATAGATTGTCGTGTCAATTATGGATTTACATCCAAACGACGATTTGGGTCATCTATGAAAGTTCAGGAACTTAACTTTGAGAACATCCCGACCATCGAGGAGTGTCGAGATCGACTCCAGGCTTGTGAGCATCTCAAGCGTCGCATCGTTTGCTTTCGTATAGGGAAGGCTCGCTTCGTGCTTGACGACCATGCAGTGAACTATGAACACGGGGTTTTCCGTCTCATTCCGCAAGATGAGCTGGTCCCTTTCTTGACACATCCTGCAACGGCTTCATGTTTCTTTCGAGATTGGTGCTTGCCCTTCTTTCAGGAAAACTCTTTGGATGAATGTTTGAAAATGATCCTGGATCTTAGCCATGTACATGAGGACTTGGTCAACGACACCAATTGGTTGGCTTCTCGCTTGTCCGGCTGGAATGGCCCTGCAGGCACAGACATTGACCTCCAGACAGAGAACGACGAATTGATCACGATCGTGCATCGGAAAACGCCCATGAAGACATTCATCAAGGAGTATCTCATTTCAAAGGTTGAAGATATTCCAGGAGCTGTGCAGTCTACCCGTGATCGACGAACCAAGTTGCAGTTCTTTCTTTCTGCCTTGGACCACTCCACCATCAAACTCCCCTGAGCATCGGATATTGATTGTAATCAATACTATTCTGAAAATATTGATTTTAGAGTTTTTTCAATATTTTCTATTGATTTTAACACAGTTCAAAATCAACAGGAATTCTGCCTTTTGGGAATCCACAACACACCAGATAGGATCAACAACTTAATCAATACAAAAATCAACAACATAATCAATATAAAGAAGCTTGAACAACAATAAAATCAATCAAAACCCACAGCTTTTTAGTGCTAGTGTGGACACTCCAGGCTTTATATTACAGTTTTCTTTTTCATCTTCTTTCTTATTTGTCTGGTGAGACTGGGAAGTGAAGCATCCTTTGGTCAAGGATGGCAGACCTATCAGCTGCTTGTGCTGGGTGTCTCCAGATACCCTTTTGCCAAGGGTGTGGCAGAAAGACCTTTGGTCAAGGACCATCTACCATTCTTCACCATCACTGTCTGGAGACACACCCAAGTCAAACCCAAGCCTTGTCAGCTGCATGTGCAAAAGAATGCGATACTTAATCATGAGCTTGCCTGAAAGTCTTGTTGATTTGACTCCCATAGCCAATGATCTGGCTAATGTTGCCACCCTCCCCACAAAGTCTTCAGATCTGAAGTTCCATGTGTACCTGGGATTCAAGAATTGTGCCTCCTTGACCAGGTGATGTTGGCAATGGTGCTTGTAGACAATGTGGTAAAGTTTATGGTCATTCTTCTGGGCCCACTTGTTCAGCTCTGTGTAATGCCTGCAAAACCTTTGGTCAAGGTCCTGCATGGCTTGAAATTCCTTTGGGCAAGGAAACAGCCCTGCTGCATCAAATGCAGCAACCAAGTCCACCATTGCCTCCAGAGCTCCCACCATGTGTTGGTGAAGGATATTGTTTGGTTCTAGTATGCTTTTCAGCACTGGTAAGAATGCACTGAGCAAATGTTTTGTCTCTGCTCCTTTTGCTTCTAGTTTGGCATACTCTTGGTGAGGCTTGGAGGGATCACAGATCATGCTCAATCTGAGGTTGGTGAGTCGAGTTGGTGTCTGAAGTTCCTTGTAATTTTCCTGGATCTTGGAGAAAATCAATGCCAGCCTTTGGCTGGGCTGCTTGTTTTGCTTGCCTCTGCCTTGGTTGTAACACACATGGTGAAGCAAAGAGCCAAGCAGGTGTGAACACACACCTTTCACAAAAAGCACATGCAGCCCATCCTGTCGAACCATTCTAATGGTGAGGCCTGGGGTTTCAAACAGCTGGTGCTGGCTACCTTTTGTTAAGGCTGCTGCTGTGTCAGTGTAAATGAATTTTTGGTTCTCTGGCAGCAATTCTTTGAAACTCTTCCCCTTCCCACAAGGCTTGCCTTTTATGAAAGGTTGCTGGGCATCACAAGCATGGCAGCAGCTGTGGGAATTCCAATGGGGCAGGTGAAGAACATTGCTGTACATTTCTTGGTCCCCTTGAATGGACCAAAGCACAGCCCTGTAACCTCTGCCTGTGAGGGGCTGCCCAGCAAGCTGTTCAAAAATGGACCCTTTTGGCAAGGGTTCATTGTCAGGGCCAAAACATGGGTGTAAGCCTTCTTGCAGTGCTTCCAAAGACCATTGCACCCATTGCATGATGGGGGTCCAGGTGTCAGAGACTGTTGCAGATTTTGGCCAAGCACAGATTAGGAAATGGGAAGTCAAACTGCTATGTGCATTGAGAAACCCACCCCAATTCCAAATCATCAGGGAGTCTCTACTCTGGAACTCGACTCCATCAGCATGAATGAAAATTGGAATGGTAGTCTCAGGGTCTTGCACCTGCCTTTTGGCAAGGCCCTGCCTTTTGTCAAGGCAGATGGGGTGGCCCTGCAGTCGATCATCCTGGGAAGCTTCAACTCCTCTCCAAAAGTCATTCAGATGTTCAACACCAAACAAAGTTTCAAACTGATCTGTATAATGGTGGAAAAGGTCTGCAAATAAAATGTGTGGCAGCAGAATGCCAGCTTTTTCCATAGACACCTGTGAAGTCTTTGGGTCTTTGCATTTTGTTTCAACTGGTGTGCTGCCAGAAATCTTGCAGTCCTTGGTGAAGCTGGCACACAAATCTCTGTGGCAATTCCCAGGTAATGACCCATGACTTCCTGTTTTGGCATTGGTTGCCAAGTCATGGCCACTGGACCCAGTGAGAATTGCTTTGTGGGCAACATCTTGAACTAGTTTTGCACTAAGCTGCCCATGGCTCCACAAGGACAAAAGTGTTTGTGCCAGCACACTCTGCTCACCATCCCCTTTGGTCAAGGGCTCTGTCTCTAGCTTGGCCAGCTCCAAACCATGGCTCCTCAGTCTTTTGACTGGCTTCATGCTGCCCTTTTGTCAAGGGCACTGAGCACAAGCCTTTGGGCAAGGCATGGCTCTTTCCCCTTTGAGGAAACACTTGAACCAAAACTTTGCACAACACTTGGCTTGCCAACCCTGCAGACCCTGCCAACCCTGGAGGCTTACCAACCCTTGGTGCTTCTTAAGCTGTATGCTTTTTACAGCCCAAGTGGCTGACTTACTTATTAGATACCCAGAAAAAACTTGTGTGGTTTAGACCCTTGGTGCTTCTTAAGCTGCATGCTTTACAACCCAAGTGGCTGACATATTTATACATACCCAGAAAAAACTTGTGTGGTTTAGTGGTGTGGTGTGCAGCCCCCCAACCCCCTGAACCACTTAAGTGGCTGTGCTGCAGCATTTTTTTGACTTGATGCCTGCTGTCGGTTTGCCAGCCAAGAGACCCTACATCACCCTTTGGTCAAGGGGAGAAGGTCTCATGTGGCTGCCTGTACCTGCCAATTGCCTGGGCAATGGCAACATCAAAAACTGAAAGCCAATCACCTTTTGTCAAGGATATGGCGACATCAAAAACTTGAAGCCAGTCACCTTTGTGCAAGGTAGCACTGGAATTTAAACAAGATACTACCCTTTGCCACTAGCTATAGGTGTACTCTTTTGTCAAGAGCACACAGGGTCCTTTGGTCAAGGGCCCCTTTCAAAGCATTGTTGCTTCACTTTTTGCTGCTTTTGGAAAAGCTTTTGTTTGCCAATGCCTTGTATTCTTTCACTTCTGTTTTGACTTGGTTGGTGCATACCACTGCATCTTTGATGGTTTGCTTTGCTGCTTCCACATTGCCACCCTTTTTTTATTTGTAATTGCTTTGAGCTTTTGTTCCCATTCTTGGGCATGTTTCAAAGTCAGGTGTGCTTCCTTCCTGTCTTGCTTGGAAGTTCTGCCTGCTTGGCTAGCAGCTTCCAAAGCTTCTTCCAAGTTTCCCACTGCCACCCTGAGATGCTCTTTGGATTTTTGTGCTTTTGTCAAGCACTCAGCCCATTGCTCTTCAGGTGTCTTCTTGTCTTTGTCATCTTCTGTGTCATTTGGGTTACCATCCTCTATGGCCAGCACTCCTCTGCCTCTTCCTTTGCTTCCTCTGCTCCCTTTGCCTTTTGTCAAGGCACCTTGGCCCTTACCTTTTGTCAAGGCAGGGCCCTGGCCTTTGAAGGCAACTTCAGCCTCCTGCATGCTGGCCAAAGAGCCTTTGCCCCAGTAGCTCATGAACTCCTTTTCATCCTCTGCATCATCCATTTCCCTTTCCTGCCCCACTGTGACTTTGTGCTTTTTCTTCAACTGGACCTGTTTGGTCAGGTCCCCCTGGTCACAGTATTGGTAGATGCCAGGGGTCCATGGGTCTGAGCGCCATTTGACCCTTCCTGATGCCAAGTGCTGTTCAAATTCATCTTTGCTGAAATCCTGCAGCATCTTGTGTTCACTGACCCATTTCTCACCTTTTGTCAAGGTTTCACTGGCTTCTTTGGAGGTTTCTGTATGGAAGAACACACCTTTCTTGTGCTTGAGAAACCAAAGAACAACTTCAAGTCCTTTTTCCTTCTTCCCCAACTGCTCATGAGCCTCTTTCTCTTCTTCCTTTCCCTTCAAATAGGTTTTGTGCTTGGACCACAGCTTAGCAGATTCATCTTTTGTCAAAGAATCTTTTAAGACTATGGCTGCTTCCTCTGCTGTGTTTGCTTTTTCTGTTGCTTTTTTCACTTTCTCATCCAAAGTCAGCTTGCCCAGCTGGGCAAGCTTACCTTTTGTCAAGGTAGCTCTCTGATGTTTCCCTGTGGCTTTGCTTTTGCTTTTGGCCTTGGCCTTACTTTTTCCCTTTGGGCAAGGGCTTGCTTTGTTTTTCAAAATTCCAGGTTTCACTTTCTTTTTTGGTGCCATGTGCAAGAAGCTAGAGCTTGCAGATCCTACTCCTTTGGTCAAGGAGAGTACATTTGCCTTTTGAACCAAAAGACTGAACACACAGAAACAGAATCAAACTTGGATGCCTTCCTATTTGCCTGTTGAGAAACTTTGACAAAAGAGTTTCACATAAGCTTTTTAAACACATATATGTTCCTAGGCCAACAGCTTTGGGAAAAATAAATTTAGATTTTTCTTGTTCTTGGATGAACAGCCTTGACAAAAGGTTGTTACATTCAATTCTATGCTACCAACCATGTGGAAACAACATTGGGAAAAAACAATATATATTTTTTAAACCTTTTTCTGAATATATATAAAAAAACAAATTTTGACCAAATTTGACCAAATTTGACCAAATTTGACTTTTGGTCAAATTTGGTCAAATTTGGTCAAATTTTTATTTTTCTATTTTTTATTATTATGTTTTTTATTATTTTTTATTTTTTTGTATTAAAACAGTTTCAAAGGTGAAAATCTGGCCACAACCTTTTGTCAAGGCTGCAATCCAGACAGCACCCAATGCTTATACCTTGGATTCACTCTGAGTTTGAAAGTGGAAAACCTGTGCCCCAAATGGTTTCTTACCAATTGTGTTTCATACTGGAATGAATTTTGGGGAGAAATGGTTTGAAATACAAAATTCAAAAACTCCTATGGCTGCTGAACCCCTTGAACAAAACAAAATTCAAACTATTTCTTATAAAGATTTGAAAGGCAACTGGAAAATATTCCCTTGGTTGTAAAATTGCACCAAGAATACCAACAAATATATGGACACTTCCAATGAACAATTTATTTTTGTCAAAGTATATTGTTTCAGAATAGTATCTACCTTTCTATTTATCTATATATATATATTTAAATACATATATATATATATATATATATCTATTTATATTTAACTATATGTGCAAAACATGCCCAGATAAACAAATAATATATATATATATATGCCTCAAAGCCTTGTTCAAAATAACATTTACAACTATCACCAGAACAAAAGTTGAACAACATTGAAACCATTTACTGTATTTCAAAATACTCTGAATGAAAGAATTGAAAGATAACCACTACCCATAGGTTCCATATATTGTAAAGTAAGTGCAGTTTGCCCAAAATAGTTCTTAATAAAATTGGTATGTTTTTCAAAAATATTCTTATTGAATTTTATTATAATATTTATTTATTTATTATTTTTATTTTTCATTTTCATCCATATTGTGTGCTCATCACCTTGCTTCATTCCTTTTGTCAAGGAAACAGCAGTGATGTGAAACTGGCTGGTCCCTTCTTGTCAGGGATGCAAGCGCTTTGGTCAAGGGACTTGCCACCAGCCATAAAAACTCTGCAAAAACTACTGGCAATTCCCTTTTGTCAAGGGGAGGTGCCTACAAACCCTTTTGTCAAGGGAATGTGTGGCCCCCTACTTGCCATCCAAAAAGTGCCACACAGCCACATCAAAAGTGGGGTAGGTGTTCATACCCCAGCCATGGGCATTCCACCAGGGCACAATGGCAAAGCACTCAATACCCCACTGGCCACACTCTTGGATCACATCCCACCTGTCATCAAACAGGATCTTGATGCCTGCCCTGTGCAGAGCTTGGGCCTTCCCCTCCCTGCCACATGGTTTGTGGCAAAAGATTTTGCCACACCAGTTGCTGTACACCCCATCACTCAGGAAATCTGTTTCCTTTTGCCTGTCTGGCCCAGAGTATGAACATAGGAAAATGTCATACCCTGCATCCTCCAGCTTCTGCAAGGCCCTCCTGTTGGCACCAGACACATTATTTCTGATTTCCAAGGTGTGGTGCCAATCCACTGCAATTCTTGGCCTCTTGGGCTGCCAGCTGTACCTTTTGTCAAGGTACCCTGGTCCTTCTTTGAGTTTGATGCCCTCCTCCTCTTTCACCTTTTTGGCAGGTGGCTCATGGTCTGATGATGAAACATCAGATGCATCCCAGTCAGGTGATGAACTTGCTGGTGAGCTTGATGAGCTGCTGGTCTGGGGCTTGCTCTCCTTTTGCTTTTCTTTTGCTTTTTCTTTTGGGCTGGGGCCAAAAACCAATGGTTTTGGAACCTCCCTTTTGTCAAGGTTGGTTCTTTCTTCCCATTTTTCAACCTCTGTTTGCACTTTGCTTTTGTTTGGTTTGGGTGCCTCCTGCTTGATCTCTTGTTTGGGATCTACTTTTTCCATTGCTTGCTTTGCAGCCCCATCTGATTTTGGATCTCTTTTGTCAAGAGATACTGGCTCAGGTTTGGCTTGGGCATCCTTGGTGTCAGGACTAGCCTCCCTTTTGTCAAGGTTGGCTGAAGAGCTTGCCCTTTTGCCATCCTTTGCTGCTTTGCTGCTTTTTTTCAACTTTTTGCAGTCTTGCTCCAGTTTTTCTTTCTCCTTTCTTTTTTCTTCTGCTTCCTTGGGCCACAAATAGTCATGCAACTCCTGTTTTGTCAACAGGTGTGGCTTTCCATATGTTTTGTCAGCAGCTGCTTTTGCCCAATCTATGTTGACATCTTCAAGTCTCATGTTTTTATTTTCTCTTTCCATTCCTTTTTTCCTGAATTTTTCTTTCCTGGCCTCTGTGGTGGTGCCAGTGCCCTGTTTTTTCCCCTTGTTGTTGAGCATTGCCCCTTTTGTCAAGGGAGCTTCCACAAGCTTTCTTTTGTCAAGAAAGCTAAAGAGGGGAAGCCCTTTTGTCAAGGGCCTTTACTCCTAGTAGTCAAGCTTGAGTTTTCAAACAGCTGCAGTGGTAGAAATGCCTGCCAGGTGTGAACCCCCCTTTAGTCAAGGCACCCAAAAGAACATGCATTGCATATTTTTCAGTGTGTTTCTCTAAAATTCCATGAAAAAAACACCCTGAGAAAGTTTCCATACATTTGAAATCAAGTTGGTGGGGCCAAACCATGAGAAAACCATCATGACACTTTGGTTGGATTATCCACTGTTGTATCTGTTTTCATGTGGTGTATATCTTCATTTGTTGTCAGAAAATGTGTACTTGATTGATATATACATAATATATATATATTTGTGTATATAATCAGTTTTCAAAATTTCAGTATATACTTAAAAATGTATATGCATATGAATGTATATATATATAGTGTTTTTTTTGTAATATATATATATATACAGATTTTTGTTTTTTTACATATATTTATTTAAATATATAATTCAATTATTTATATTTAGTTCATTTATTTCATTTATTTATTAATATATTTTCACCCCTTAATAATTTGTTCTTGTTGGCAACCTTTGGGCAAGGAGCCTGGGGTGAAACATACATAGCCCAACCATGTCAAACCTTTTGTCAAGGAATGACAGGTATCTGTGCAAGGGCCAGCCATGCATCAATTGGGCAGATATCTATAGCACCACCATTGCCTTTGCTGACTGAAACCCTTTTGTCAAGGGTAGGGGGCCCTTTTGGCAAGGAACCCCCAGGGCCAAAAGCCCTAGCTCAGCAACTCTTCTCTCAAAGCTCTGGCTTGCTCTTTGGTTAGATGCTCAGCTTGCAGCCTTCTGTGGATAACCCCAATCACCTCTCTGTATTGTGGGGTCATTTTCTTTGTCACTTCGACTATGTGGTGAATAGGTTCAGGTGGCCCATGGCTTCCTTGGATGTAGGCCCTTTCTGGGTTCCTGGGATAGGTTACCTTCAAGGTTTTCCATGGCTGTTTTTTTGTGCTTACTGCAGCTGTGCTTACTGCAGCTGCAGGCCTTTTCATTTTGGAACCCTTCTTCTCTTTTTTGCATGTTTGTTTTTTACCCAAGGCCAAAGCTTTTGTCAAGCTTTGGTCTTGGTCCTTTGAGTTCCAGCTTGGTCTCTTTAGCACCAAAGAACCCTTTCTCCTTTTCAAAAAAGATCCCTCATCAGGTAATGCATTGGAACTGCTTGCTGCTGCTCCTTTTGTCAAGGGGCTGTCCTCCAATGGCAAGGCATTGGATTGCTGTGGGCTTTGCAAGCACTTGGGGAAGCCACTGGAATCCATGGAGATGGCAGAATCTTCTTTCTTAAGCTGCCTCCTTTTGGCAAGGGGGCCAGCTTCTTCTTCCTCTTGCTGCCCCCTTTTGTCAAGGGAAGCAGCTTCTCTTTCCTCATCACTGTTTTGCTCTGTGTCCTTGCCTGCCAAGTTTTGTGCAAGCTCTTTCAGCAGCTGGTATTCTTTTCCACTCACTTTTGCTGCTACTTTTGCAAGCTCTTCCTCAGATTTCAACCTTCTAAGATGAAGGAGGACAGTTGTAACCCTTTCTGCTCTCATGTTGCAGTATACCAGTCCATTGAAGTCTGTTGTGTTTATCTTCGGTTTGTGCTGGACCAGCTTCAGCAATGCTTGCCTCAGAGGACCTGGGTGGATCTCACCTGTGGGGGAAAGATCCAACAAAGCTTCCAACAGAGGCAGGCAATGCACTAGGCCCTTGGCATCTGTGGCTTGCTGCCTGCTGACAGTCTCATACCTTCCCAGTGAAGACACCAAAGAGACATGTTGGTTCAATGTTTGGAAAAGCACAAAGGGGTCCACCATTGGCTTGGAGAAGTGCCTTGCCCCACCCTTGCTGGCCATTGCTTCAAAACTAGAATCCTTTGGTCAAGGGTTCCCCCAAAACTAAGCTAGCTTTTGTCAAGCCAGCTACAAAATCTTGATGGATCCTACTTGAGACAAATGGTTACATATGGCTCTCATGCAGTTTGGCCAGAAGCTTGGCCCATGGCACACACTCAAGGTGAAAATCAACAGAAAAATCAATAGGAAAATCAACAACTTAATCAATACTGCAGAGGCATCAAAACATGTACATCTGAAGCCAAATCAATATTTTCGGATGAAAACAAATCAATAAAAAAACTTGGTAGTTCTATTGATTTTTTCAATAAAAATTGGAAAATCAATATCAATAGAAAACTATCTGTTCCTATTGATTACAATCAATATCCGATGCTCAGGGTCTTTCGTCAACATGATCAGCATGCTTTCGAGAAACTCTTGGTGGATTGGGCTTCTTTGGCTGCAGCTATGGATGCTCATGGTGGTGCGCTTGCTTTCGGTCAGTGGAAAGATTGGGGCTGCACCTTTGATCTGCGGCATCTGCAGCAAGAATGGGAGTCAAATCTCTTTGTGGACTTGCAAAATGAATGTCAAGGAAATGTCACGCATCACGGAAGTCTCTCATCTCAAATCCGGCCGACTGTAGCAACATTGCAGGAAACAGTGGACTTGGAGGCTTTGCAAGCCTACTTGGAAAGTGGCTCAGACAGAAGGACTTCGCAGCTTCGGGCCTATGTTGATCGTCATGCTTCTGAAGGAGTTCGCGTGGGGCGCTTTTCTACTGTCTCTGTCGGGTACTACAAGGCCCCCAATTATGGTCGTTTACTTGCTCGTGGCCCTGCTGCACAAAAACTCACTCGAGAAGCTCGTGGAAAAGCCTTCCCCCATGCCATTGAGATTGATGCAGCTTGTTGCCATCCTCGTCTTCTCTTGCGAAAACTTCGAGATATGGGATTGGACGAGGCAGGTAGTTTCCAGATGCTTCGTCTCTTCTGTGAGAACTACAAGTCATGGCGGTCAGTTTTGGCTCAGTATCTTTGCGTTGATGTCCAGGAGGCAAAAAAGGAACTTATCCGCATCTTCTACGGTGGCAACCCGCGTTTCGATATTCCATGGCTCCGCAAGCTTGGGGAAGAAGTTCAGGCAGCTGCTCATCTGATTCTACAAGATCACAGACATACTCATCTTTCTGATTTGTACAATGATCGCAGACATCCTGAATTCAGTCGGCCTTGTTCTTTGCTATCATTCGATGAAGCTGACCTATTGGACACCATTCGGACCCATGCGCATGTGAAAATGGAGGTTGCTCTCTTTGACGGAGGCATTGTGTCGTGCACATCTGTGCAAGATCTCTTTTGGTTGCATCGTGCTTGCGCAGAAACTTCCCACAACATCATCCCCGTCGAGATCAAAAGTGAGCCGCAAAGTATGAAGACTTTCTTGCATATGTTGGTGTGCAAGAACATCGTGAACATGATGGAAGTCGAAATTCCTTCCACTCCGGCAAACTGTTTGCTCTTTGCTGTTCAAGGTGTTGCACCTCATGTTGATCTCAGTAGTTTGCGCCAAGTTTTGCAAGACAAGCCAGAGTCCTCGCTTTCCGCTCATCAATTCAATGAAGCTTTGGCAGATGCAGACTCTGCAGCCGACACTGCTTGGCAATTGCATTGCATCTCCAAGGATGAGTTGCTCTCCGTTGTCCCAGCGCACCCGATCCTTTGTCATGAACGTTCTGGAGAATGTCAAGGACACTGGTGGTCCTTTGTGATGATTGAGGATGAGGCAAGGCTATTTGATTCTGAGATTCCTTCTTTCGAAGTGACTGCTCGATGGGAAACCTTTGCATCTGCTTTGGAAAAATCTGATGCATTGACTTTCTTCGAACTGAAACAGATGCACTTGAAGACGGAAATGTCGATGTCAGAGGCATATCACTTGCAAGGTCGTGGCCGTGCGGATGGATCCTCCACAGTGAAGTCCGTGCGAACACCCCTCAAGAATTGTGCTCTGTGTGGATCTTGTCTATATCCCAAGCGCAAACAGTTCTCTACGGCAACAGTTTATAGACTCGAAGGTCCCGAGACTGTCCTGCACCAGCCTATGCGATGTGGACAGAAGTCATGCCAAGCCTCCCACTACTACAACTTCGTGTGGAGCAACGGCATCAAGACCAATTCGCTCGATCCCAACCAGGCCGAGTATATCTTCGTGACCGCCAACACCGGGTTCCACGTCTCCTTCCTTGCTTATCACGATGCCCTGCAATTCAGAGGCTACTTGAGCAATCACGCCATCGCCTGGTCCCAAACGAACGCATTATGGGCAGATGACCATGCACATGCTCGATTTCACAAGGACTATGCATTGGCTCGTCTCTTGGTATGGATGAAAAAAATTGCTTCAATCTATTAACCAGTCTGATGCAGTACATATATATATATATATTTAATTTTCGTATATGTATGTAAGAGAATATTCATATATATATATATATCATTATTGTTTTCTGTTGAGCAATTACTTAATACTATTGGTAGCCCTATGTGTATATTATCAGTTTCTCCACTGTGTTTGGAACGAGTCTGTCATGATGAAACAATCAATATGTAGGAATATATATGCATTGTTCTGCAGCATTACAAACAAGGTCTTCTCTGGAATGTCATGAGCGAACTGTCGGTCATGTGGAAATCCACTATGCCAAGCACTTCCATTCAGAAACTTCGCACAATTCGCGTAGATGATCCTGTGCATGAAGGGCATCTTCGGGACTTCCACCGATGGTGGCAAACCATCGAAACTCCCCATCGCATGTCGCAGTCTGTCAAAGAGATCGCTGTCGATGGCCACGAGAAGATCGCCACAAAGTGCTATCATGAAGCACCAGCTCGCGGTGGTCGTCCTCGGAAGGATGGCCATGTCAAATTGTTCTACAACGGCTGGTTCATGGCGACACACCCTGGGACCGGAGTCATCCTAGGCCTTTTTGAGATGAAAGATCCAGAGAATTCGGATGTTGCGCTCAATCTTGTGCAAAATTTGCTACCGCATTATCCCAAAGTGGATGCAGTACTCTACGATCGAGCCTGTAGCATCTTCAAGAAGGCTAAGAACACACAGGATTTGAAGCCTGTCAAGTTCTGGTGTGTAGACAAATTCCACGCAAAGGGACATTGCAACAAATGTAAATGTTCCCCGTCTGTGGTGCCAGCAATCGATAAGCGACTGAAAAGAGTCAACACATCGATTTCTGAACAGGTGTTTTCGTGGTTCCGTGGGTACAGCTCCACATTCAACTCCATGAACGCGAAACACCAAAGATTCTATGTGTTGGCTTACTCGCGTCGACACAATCATTTGCAAAAATTAGATGACATGCAGCACCTCAATCCTTGGTCTGCCCGTAAGTCCACTTTGAAGCGAGCCGGCGTGCTGCAGAAGCCAGCCAGCCGCAAATATAAGTGTAGGGTCAAGAAGCAAGCCGTCTTGAAGAGACCCGCACAGAAATGATTTGATGATGTGGACTAGAAGATATTTCCAACATCTTCCCAAACCCAAACTCTTCCGCCATCATTTTGCAATTCCGTCATTCGTTGGTGCAATGCATCAAATCAAAGGTGCCAGAGCGGTTCCGCTTCAAAATCTCTCACAGCTGTCTCGCTCGTCGGACAAAAAAGAGAAGATGCACGCACTGAATCGTTACTGCTTGCTCATGAAATCTTCCACGTCTCAATGCCATAATCAGCAATAGATTGCAACACGCCATACAAGAAATTGTCCATGTGAATACACATATTGTTTAAATATGTATAACCTAGAACTGCTAAGACGCAACCCCTTGTAACATCCAAATAATGGATTTCCATAAATCAGAGAAGCAAAATGAAGCACCGGAAAAAAACATGGATTGACATTAACGTTTCGGAGTCTGGGTACGAAATTTCTTCTTTCCATTTGGTACTTTCTGAACCTTCATGCCTTGGTCCTCTTTTTCTTGGCCTTTGTTTCATCAGGTGGCTTGCAGCTGGTGTTCAGCTCATCTTTCTTTTCGTGATCTTCCTTTCAAGACTCCTGCAACCATATCATATTTGATTCTCTAAGGCACTGTCATATCTCCACTTCTATCGCACTGGCCTCCACTCTATCGACTAGCATTCTCTATATTGCTCTGCCATCCCATTGCAGTGACATACCATTGGCTTTGAGATCCCTTTCCTTTGACACTCCTTTGCTTTGGCATCCCCAATATGTAGCATAGATTTTGTTTCGTCATTATTTGAATTCAAATGCGATTTAGGGTATGTGCCGCAGTATATAATTTTAATAAAAATGTTCATATTATGTCTTAACTTGATGAACTTAGAATAAACTTTGTCATATCTAGAACCATACTTAATCAGTAAGAATTTATTTGAAGAAATAAAATAAATGCATTAAAAATAACAAAAAACAGCTAAAAATGACGTAAAAACTGGGGACCCACAACGTCCCGCACTCGGAATGGGGATTAATATGGGGATATTGGGATTAAATGGGATATATCATATATCTCACCAACGATGTGATATGTGGGTGCATGGGAAAATTGGTTAAGCCCCAAAGATTGCCATTTTAGTGAGAAAATGACAGTATAATGACAATCCGGAACTGGGGATACCCAACTTTCAGACAACTCCATGAGTTGTATCTTGTTGGTAAACTAACAGTTTGCCATGGACAAATCATTATTTCAATACAGGTAAATCGTCGAACAGAACGGATCATAGCCAGCAACCAGCAATTGATGATGTTATATAGATATATACGCAATTTAATATATATATAATATTACATCTAACGTATATACATATAATATATACAATGAATATAATATATATATATAAATATGTATATGATACGATATTTATATATATGATACGATATATATATATATAATATTGTATATAATAGATTATATGTATGATTTTGTAATTTGGTATATACATATATATCTCACAATATATATAATATAATATGTATATATATAATATTGTATATAAATAATATTGTATATATAATATTGTATATATATAATTTTGTATATATATTTAATATTCAATATAATGTGTGTATAATTTAGATTTATATTTAACATATTGTATAAATATAATATACAACATATATATATAATATGTATAATAATATTTATATAATATGTATAATAATAATATATATCATGTATTTAATAATTTAAATACAATACGATATATATTTATATACTGTATATATGTATTAAATTTGTAATACAGCATATATTATTTTTTATTATGACATTTTTAATATTATATATATATAATAATGTATTTAATGTACTATACTATAATATAATATAATATAATATAATACAATATAATTAAATGTAATATAATATAATTTGATATAATACAATATAATATAATACCATATAATTATATATATATATATATATATTTATTGTATACATATATATATACATTATAGTAGTTCCCTCTACCAATTGCAACCCCTCCCATGGTACGTCAGGAGAAATCCGCCGTGAGGAGACAATGAGCCCAGCACCTTGGTTGACAGGAGGATTCAGTGTGAATTTTGGAGGTGATCCTGGAGCAGTTGTGTGAGTTCAAAGTTGGGGGCAACTGAGTCTACCCTGTGAATTCACATAGTTGTTGCGCGTGGAATTCACAGGCTGCCCAGTTATAGATGATCTAGCCATGATATACACAAAATATATACACTTTAAATATATATACACTGACTATATTTATATATGGAACATGGATATGTTTTGATATGTTTTCTGGTTATGTTACTTTAGCCGATCCCCACAGATCTGGATGGATTTCATCAGAGCTTGAAAATTTGGAATCCACGGCGGGACCCGGGAGGTCCACCATGAATGATCCAACACTAGGATTGATTTACCCTCTGGTAAATTAACATAGCTATGGAAAATCACCATGTTTAATAGGGAAATCAACTATTTCTATGGCCATTTTCAATAGCTATGTTAAATTACTAGGATTGATTTAGTAAAATTTAGCAGATTTAGATAATTTACAGATGATTGCATATTGCAAAGGTGATGGATTTGTTGTTGCCTTGCATTATCAACTGGTGAGTCAACAGCTGGTTGATAAGTTACGGGTTGCATGTAGACTTAGTTACCCAAGTTATTTACATATGTGAATCTAAAGAAACAACCATTTCACATAACACCATCATGTTGCTTAGATTTAATGGTAGTCAAACGGAAGGATAACCCATAGGAACCATGGTGCTGGTATATTTGCTAACATAAAGGGGGTATATTGATGGGATCCATGTTACCATATATGGCAGCACCATGGATCCTATGGGGTAATTAGTTCCCAGTGCCATGTTTCATCCGCTGCATAGGTGGCCAGCCCCCATGAGCTCGCCGGAAGTTCGGCCGTGTCCAGCCTCTTGGACGATTTTTCACAATAGTGTTTTGACCACAGACCACAGGAAAAAAATAAAACAGTGTATGATATATATATATATACATAAAATATATCATGGGTACATATATATATATGAATGTATACAGTATACAATGGGAATACAATATGATAGTATATATAATATACATAAGAGATCATAAGAGGGGATATGACAAGGGGATTTACTAGCAATCAATTGGGACATGGCGGATTTACGCAGCAAAAGTGGAGACTGTTTCACCAGCCATTTTTCATGGTGATATAGTGTAAAATGAGAATCTAAGCCAACAACCATGGTTTGGGACAGTTTATTGAGACATTGCGGATATATAGGCAACAAGATGAGAAGTGTGTGTCTGAGAATTGATTGCTGGATAATTACATAGGAGCAATTTTTGAATTCTGGAACAAATATGTTTGCAAGAGATGGAAAGAGTAACTTGATTTTTTTAACAAATCCGTTTGTTCACAAGTCCCATGGCTCTGAAAAAGATATTGACCTATTTAAGTGTCCATGCAATCGTATAGGTCCTTTTGTACCCCCGCACAATGGCCAGGTAAGCAGTTGGTAAACCCAGAAGAGATCGCCAAGCTTTGACAACTGTAATTTGTGAGGTAAATATCATACACAATATGGGCAATGTTTGAGAATGTGGTAAACCCCGACGTTATGCACATTCGTTGGGGAAAAGGATGACAATCGGAGGTAGAACGGGATAAGCATCCCATACATGGCGATTTGTATCAGGGAAACATGGGGAAACAATTGTTAATATCCCTGTTGATTGGTTAAGGGTTTCTGGCTACTTGGCTTATTGCAGATTATTACCAATAAAATACATATACAATGATACCGCCTATCAACCAACGAGTATATATGAGTACAAACATGGGATAGAATCAGATAATAAGGGTATGTTTCATGGCATTGATCGAAACCCATTGAATTTCGTTGGTTTGCCCATGGCTAACCTAACGGCGCAGGTAGTGAGGCTTGGACGTCGCGCACGTCTCCTGGGGTACCTTGGTGGCCGCGATGTTGTCATCTTCGCTTGGGGGAGAAACGTGGGGATCATAGGGAATATGGGGGTTACGACCTATGATGTTCATTGATTTTTCATATTGGGGATTGGGGATGAATATGCACAAATCCCAGTTACTCTTGGATGGTGTGAACAGCAGGGCATCACAGATTTTGATCCATGGTATGATATGACATGGTATAACGATGTATAACCAGCAAAGTGAGACAAATTCATCGTTTCGCCATGGGGTCTCTGTATCGTTTTTGTTTACGTACTGAGGGGTAGGGATGGATTGGTGGGTCCCGCGATGGGCTGACCATCTGTGAAGCTTTAAGGAATGCGAGTGCAGCATTGATGTTTGCCATTGATAGTCATCTATACAATTGCTGGGTTTGATTATATGGAATTATATGGTTATTATATATATATATATACATGTGATATAATATAATGTAATATAATATAACATTCTTTAATATAATGGAATATAATATAATACAATATGTTGGTTTATTATATTATACCATATTATATTATATTATATTATATTATTATACTATATTATTATATTATAGTATTATATTATATTATATTGTATTTTATTATATTATAATAGACTATTATATTATATTATATTATATTTTATTATACTATGTTATATTATATTATATTATGTTATTATATTATGTTATTATATTATGTTATATTTTACTATACAGTATTATATTTTATTGTATTATATTATATTATATTATACAGTGTTATTATATTATATTATATTATATTATAGTTTTTTATATTTACATACAATATATATATGGTTTTATATGGTAAATATATATTTTACAGATCCTATATGCTATTTATTGTTTTGGAAACCACCCTGGGTGGACTTTAACCAACGCTACTGTCTCGATACGATGTAACCAGATGTGGACGTCCAGGACAGCGCGCGCAGCGCGCTGAACGCCTGGCCCCGAAACGGTGAAACGGCCAAGATGGGAGGCCGGAGCTCCCGGGGACGTAACAGTTCGCTATTGAAAATTGCAATTTGTAGTTGATTTATGTTGATTTACCCATTGTTTCAATGATGATTTTCCATAGTTTTGTGTATGTTTACCAGAGGGTAACTCATGAAATCTGGAATTTGTCGGCTCCCGCGAAGGGCGATTTGTATCGAGAACATGGTCATGTGATTTTCGGGTAATTACCAGAGTTAACATATTTTAACATATGCCATTTTGACAACGCGTTATTTTTCAGAACCAACATCAGATAATCAAGTGCTTCCCAAAGAACATGCGGGTTCAGAAAGGACTACAATTTGTTTGATTCCGGTTACAAAGATGGTGTAGTGGGACATCTGGGACATTCTGCAACATGGAGACTGGAGATCCGTGAGGTCGTCACTCATTGGATCGAAAAGTCATCCCATTTGACCTGAAAACCTAGATGCATCTGAAACAAAAAATGCCACCCCAAGATTCCGAAGAATTCCATTTAACTTCATTAAACCACCAGGACCAATATACATTTTAAATCCACCATTTCTGCCTCGATTTCCTCACCGGAAAGCCACAGGTTACAGCGGAGGTTATGGAGTCGTCCCAGGCCCCCAACTGATGGATGTGCAACGGCATCTGGAGGTGCCAACAGTTGGAGACGGATGGCTTAAGCGGCTTAGGCACCTGGAAATGTGTGGTTCTTCACCAAAGAAATTGAAACACCTGGAAAGTCCTCAAAATATTGGAGTGGGTGCACTGTGTTTGAAAGATGATAGGGTGAACATGCTTTAATGATGTTAATGATGTTCAAACGAGATTCAGATATACAAGCCTGCGGAGCCACTTTCTTTTTAAAGCAGGGTATCTAAGACTAGCCATTCTATTAGTAAACCGTGTTTTGTTATTAGGTTAATTTGTTTGACCAGAAATGAAGGAATCAATTTATGTTGATAAGGGAGTAAGGGAATGTTTTGTTTGTTGCCCTTGAAATGGATGAATATCAGCCCCAAAAAAGCAGAGAATCCTAGGTCAGCCATAAACCATTGGCTGGGGCAGTTCCAGCAATGGCCACTACTTGGGGATGCAGTTGCAGTTGTAAATGGAACTCTGACCGTAGTTAAAGGGGCCCCAAATCCCAACTTATTGGGGAAATTTACCATGGTGATATCGCAAAAAATGTCCCGATCTGCACCGCCAAGTACTGTATCATTCTCATGTCATAGTCATGTCTCATCCATTTTACTCTACGATCAGCTGGTTTTAGGCCTTTAGCAGCCTTTAGCTGTATAAAACATGCCATGTTACTAAAATCATATATAGGCTTCCTAAACTAGGTATATCCCAAATCACCCATTTTATAGATAGGATTTTCCAGGAAATAAACCATCCATACATTGGGGGATCCCATGAAAACCCAACAATAATCAATGGTCAATTATGGTCAATTCATCAATGGCCAGTGCAGCTTCCTGCAAATGGAATGGGGCTGCGCTGCTGACAAACCTTAATTATTGGTTGCTTGTATTTTTGTTTACATGTGACAGAAATTACAATATTACATGAACATGAATATGATGTATATATTTAACATATGAATATGCATACATGTACATAAGTATAAAATGTGTAATTATAAAATGTGTTCCGTTGTTCCCCCATCTATCCAGATACAAAGAAGTGGAGGAATCTGCAAAGTCCCAATCAACATCAATCAACAACTCTTCAAAACAAGGATAGATAAATATCATGTACAGGGGCCCCAGGGGTGCAGGCTATACCTCCCATAGGCAATTCGATCCACCTCCGATATACGGTCACCATGGCTCCATGGTAACAGGTGATCCGCTTCACGGTCTTGCGCGAACATGCCAAGATGCGCGAGAGAGCCGCGCAGGTCGATGGAGATGGTGATGGCTATAGCGATTCCCAAAAGGGGGAATGTACTGCTGTGTGATTTTCCATCCTCATTGGGATGCATTCTTATGGTGGAAGGTTGGTTTTTTCAGATATCCGAGGATTAAAGCCGTTGAGCTCAGTGGCACTGGCACTTTCTCAACGAAGAACAATATAAGGGGTTGACCAAAAAAAACTATGGAAATCTATGGAATGAACTGTTTAAGCAAGCTACATTTACAGCTGGACCTAGGCACAATATAGTTACCTTGAAAGAGTCCTAGTGTTGGTGGCAAGGCCAAAGAACAGCTTGCAGCGCTTCGAGTTTTCGATGAGAATCTTGGGTTGTTTTCGAGGTCTTTGCACTGTTGGATTCGGTGTTTGATCCATTTTCATCCTGAGCTGGCAGATAAACTCAGAGATTCCCCGAGAGGTCGCTTTATCATCACTTGGTTTTTGACAAGGACTGATGCAGTATTTACATGTATTTACAAAGTTTTTTTTTTGGGCGTTCACAGATTCACATGCTTTTTCGATGAACCACTTAAGACATCTCCGAAAACCATCACTGCATCTCCCCATGGTCAACCGTACAGGGCATCCATCCATGGCCATGGCCTAAACAAGGACAATGATGATAAACCATGGGATATCGGAAGTTAGGGTCATTTTTTATTTGGACAAAGCTCTAAAAAAAGAGGATTCATCACTTTCAACGATCAGGGGTTAGCTGGTTAGCTGTCCCACCAAGGATCATTCTGGAAGTAGATGATTGCTGTCTCAGCGATGAGGATGCCATGGTATGGTCTCTGGAGAGATGGGTTTGGCGAAAAACAAAATTTTTACCAGGATTTTGCAGAAAAACTATGGGAACATTGATGAACATGGTGATTAAACATGAGACAGAAACGACTACTCTATGTTCAGACAGAACCCACATGAGCAAGCGGTGGGTCCAAGAATCCGGGAAAGCCTGTGTGAGGTCAACAAATTATCAACGATTTTGTTCCATTTTGTCACCCATGTTCCAACTGTTGCAATCAACAAAAAAGATCAATCAAGTTTGTGTAAAACACATGAAGTCTGCTTAATATATCATAATGTAGCAGTTCCCGAATTGGGATGTGGATCCAAATTGGCTCATCTCGTTGACAGGAGCATTGCTTCACCCAGCAGCAGCGATTGGCAGCATATCCGCACATTCTCTGGACCTTGACATTGACGTGTCCCTCAAAGGCGGCATGGGAAAAATTGTGGGAACGCCTGAGTTTCAGTAAGTTTGGTATTCGAATATGGGCCCAATCAGAACTAGGACCGAATCCCGACTCCTCAACTGATAGGTGGATGGGTAAAGATGCGTTGTGTGTTTGTCCTTTGGAAAATGGACCAAGCAGCCATGCATTCGATGCCACAGCTATCCACAGCTGACAACATTTTGCTGTAAGGAAGTCATGTTGAACGATCACGCAAGGTGGCCCGTCCAATTTACCCAAGTTCGTCATAGTCCCATAGTTTGTCATAGCACAAATTTACCATTCAGATGTATTTTAGAGCCCCCCCAAGGGGGGATGTGACATGATGGGACTATCTCACCGTTTTTGTTCGACGCAGGCAGAAGGAAGCAGCACCAGCTGCGAGTTTCGGCTGCTGGTCGAGAAAACGGACACCATCAGCCCCAGCAGCCCCTGGCCGGGATATGACTGGGAGGCAGGGGGGTCAGCCATCAATCAACATGTTTTTTCAAGAAACATTGATGAAGGTTGAGTGAATTTAGAGTCTTAACTACAGGATCCACATGGATCCACGATTCCGAGAATTGATTGAAGAGAACAATTAAACAAACATGGGGATATCCAGAAAGAGCATCAATGGATTTACCCAGCAAAACATTTTTAGATTTTTTCTGGGGAGAGCTTAATTCACGAGGATTTCCCCATAGATTTTGATGATGCTTAATCTGGACGTCACTCAGCAAGGTCATGCTCAACCCTGAGGACAAGATGGCAATTCTCCAAATTCGCCATGGTTATGTACGGTATTCTGTTCATGTTTTTTAATGTTCATTCAGGTACCAGGTGGTGAAATGGCCACCCCCATGATGATTTTGATGAGGGCATCAGGGATGTTAAAAAAACACAAACATTGAAACACCTACAGGGGTGCATTGTGTTGGTTACGTTCGCCATGTCTGCTGGTGATGTTAGACTTATGTTTGTTGATTGTACCAGTAGTACCGCACAAGGCGGTGGCGGAAGTTTCAAAAATAGGAAACCTATAGGAGAGGTTGGTTGTTGTGAATCAGGGATGGCAGAGCAAGTCCACTGATGGACCGAAAGGTGCTTGAGGTCTCCCACTCTTTCTCGCTCTTTCTCTGACTATCTACCTACCTACCTATCTATCTACCTATCTATCTAACTAACTAACTAACTAAGTAACTAACTAAGTAACGAACTAACTCACTAACTAACTAACGAACGAACGAACTAACTAGCTAACTAACTAACAAACTAACTAACTAACTAACTAACAAACTAACTAACAAACAAACTAACTAACTAACTAACTAACTAACTAATCTATTAAACTAATCTATTAAACTAATCTATTTGTCTGTCTATCTATCTATCGATCTATCTCTCTATCTGTCTGTCTGTCTCTCTGTTTGTCTGTCTGTCTGTCTGTCTGTCTGTCCGTCTGTCTGTCTGTCTGTCCATCTATCTATCTATCTATCTATCTACCTGTCTACCTATCGATCTATCTATCGATCTATCTATCGATCTATCGATCTATCGATCTATCGATCTATCTATCTATCTATCTACCTGTCTACCTACCTATCGATCTATCTATCTATCTATCTATCGATCTATCGATCTATCGATCTATCGATCGACCTATCTATCTATCTATCTATCTATCTATCTATCTATCTATCTATATGTGGAGTGTAGTTGTAGTTGTAGTGTTGTGAAGTGTAGTGTAGTGTAATGTAGTGTAGTGGAGTGGAGTGTAGTGTAATGTAGTGTAGTGTAGTGAAATTTAGTGTAGTGGAGTGTAGTGGAGTGTAGTGGAGTGTAGTGGAGTGTAGTTGCGTAGTTGTAGTTGTAGTTGTAGTTGCAGTTGTAGTGTAGTGGAGTGTAGTGTAATGTAGCGAAGTGTAGTGGAAGGTCGTGTAGTGTATTGTAATGTAGTGTTGTGTAGTGGAGTGGAGTGTAGCGTAATGTAGTGTAGTAGTATAATTTTAGTGTAGTGGAGTGTAGTGTAATTTAGTGTAGTGGAGTGTAGTGGAGTGTAGTTGTGCAGTTGTAGTTGTAATGTTGTGGAGTGTAGTGTAGTGTAATGTAGTGTAGTGTAGTGTAATGTAGTGTAGTGAAGCGAAGCGACATCTGAACCTCTAAAAGTGGTCCGAACCCCTAGTGCTTTTAACATTTTGACTTGGAAATGTGCTTCGCACCACAACGGCGTGCACTTTTTCGACATCTGAACCTCCAAAAGTGGTCCGAAACCCTAGTGTTTTGCACATTTTGACTTGGAAATGTGCTTTGCGCTACAACGGCGTGCATTTTTTCGACAACTCAACTGCCAAAAGTGGTCCGAGAATGGTGTGCTTTGTACATTTTGACTTGGAAATGTGCTTCGCGCCACAACAGCGTGCACTTTTTCGACATCGCAACTTCCAAAAGCGGTCCGACGCTGAGGTGTTTTGTACATTTTGACTTCGAAATGTGCTTCGCGCCACAACGGCGTGCACTTTTTCTACAACTCAACTGCCAAAAGTGGTCCGAGAATGGTGTGCTTTGTACATTTTCACTTCGAAATGTGCTTCGCGCCACAACGGCGTGCACTTTTTCAACATCTCAACTGCCAAAAGTGGTCCGAAGCTGAGGTGTTTTGCACATTTTGACTTGGAAATGTGCTTCGCGCCACAACGGCGTGCAATTTTTCATCTCTCATCTGGCCAGCTGGCTCCGCACCCGCCGCTTTAGCGAGCCTACTTTTCGACCCTCCGGAGCCCCAAATCATTGGAAAAACACAGTTTCCTACCTTTTCACGCATCTGCATCTTCTTTCTTCTTACTCTTCTTTCTTCTAATCCCTTCCTCCTAATACAAAACCCCCCCCCCTAATACAAAACACGGCAGGTAGTTTTTAGTATTAGGGGGGTATTTATTATTAGGGAACCAAATCGAAGTCATGTTAATTAATTAATTAAATTTCTTTATATAACGCAATTAAAATATTGCCAAAAATGGCAGTTCGAAGCTTACCCCTAATACTAAATTAAAACCCTTAATACTAAAAACTATTTTTTCCGATCTCAAAATCAATTAAATTTCCTTATATAACGCAATTAAAATATTGCCAAAAATGGCAGTTCGAAGCTTACCCCTAATATTAAATTAAAACCCTTAATACTAAAAACTATTTTTTCCGATCTCAAAATCAATTATATTTCCTTATATAACGCAATTAAAATATTGCCAAAAATGGCAGTTCGAAGCTTACCCCTAATACTAAATTAAAACCCTTAATACTAAAAACTATTTTTTCCGATCTCAAAATCAATTAAATTTCTTTATATAACGCAATTAAAATATTGCCAAAAATGGCAGTTCGAAGCTTACCCCTAATACTAAATTAAAACCGCCCTTAATACTAAAAACTATTTTTTCCGATCTCAAAATCAATTAAATTTCTTTATATAACGCAATTAAAATATTGCCAAAAATGGCAGTTCGAAGCTTACCCCTAATACTAAATTAAAACCCTTAATACTAAAAACTATTTTTTTCCGATCTCAAAATCAATTAAATTTCCTTATATAGCGCAATTAAAATATTGCCAAAAATGGCAGTTAGAAGCTTACCCCTAATTGCTAGAGTAGCTAGGCAGCTTGGAGTGAGGGATTGGGACTAGGCCCCCCTAATACTAAACACCCCGGGGTGAACTAGTTTTTAGTATTAGGGGGGAGAACCCACAAATGGTAGGTTGATTTTTAAATTGTTTTTAAAAGGGGATCAATTAAAAGTCAAATTGGCCAAACTGAAATTTTCGGAAATTGGAGATGGATGCCTGTTTTTAGTATTAGGGGGACGTTTAGTATTAGGAGGAAGGGATTACTCTTCTTTCTAATCTTTCTCTTCTCTCTGCCTCTTCCCTGCTCTGCTTTTCATCTGTCCATATTGTCGGAAGTTTGACTTCTAAACTTCCTTCGACAATTGCAATTAATTGCATACAATTGCCTCATGTTGCTGGTGAAAGCCATCATGAAAACAACAACATAATTCACAATGTTCACCAACATGACACAGGTGACATAATGATTTAGTAAGCTTAATATATGGATTGTCGAAATCCAAGAGAAATCAATCTTTACGGAGGCGGCACAAACCCCTAGCGCCTAGCGAAATATAGCAATATAATACCGCAGATGTTGGACGCATCCCCAGTATAAAATCATGAAACATCATCATTGCATGTATCATATATCATATGTAAATATGTGTGCATCATATATAAGTATAATATACATACATCTTATACATATATTATATACTGATATATAATGATATACATACATCTTGATATACATATATATATATATATATGTATATATATATATATATATATACCTGTAATATATATATATATACACCTGTAATGTGTATATATATATACATGCAAATACATCCCAAACAATCTTCATGACCTCACGACCGAATGACCGCAGCATTGGCCTCGACATCCATCGCCGGTCCGTCGCCCAAGGCATTGAGTTCCTGGTCTCTGTGGTGGTCCGCGCGGACAACGTGGTGGGCTGCCCGGTGTCCTCTTGGGGAACTCTGGGAACTCAAGGAACTGGCGACTGATTATGGTTTGGAAATTCTAATGACTAGCCATGATTTGCCAATTATGACTAGCCCACATATATAATTTGATTATATATATTGTATTATATATAGAGAGAGATAGAGAAGAACGGCAATCCTGAGATAGATAGATGATGATAGATGCACACTTGTGACATACTGTAATCAATATGCGGATCACAACAAATACCTTCGAAACTACTTGGCATGGCGTGTCAAGTCAAGTACTGTCTCAGGTGGAGTTTGGATCCAGAGGTATTCTATATATATATATATTATAAGTATGTATATATATATATATATGCATACAAATATTGGTGGCCATTTCTCACTTGATTTAACAGATGTAATAACAGGGACCGACCCCGCTGCATTCCGTGCGTTTGGAATGCACGCCTCGAAAAGCCCATTCAGAAAGCCTGGCGGATGACTTGACCAGGCAGTCCTGGCGGAAGACTTTAGAATTTAGAAAATTTCACATCTTGATCATCAAGAATCCAGTTTTCATCACAAGTCATGAAACATTCCAAAGATAGTCACCACTTTTCCCATGGGTTTTCCCATGTTTTCCCCGTGGCTTTTCCAGCTAAAAAAAATCCGTTCCAGGAGCTTGGCCCTGAAACCTGGAGCAAGCTGCGCTTTGACCAGGTCATGGCGGCATTTGGGAACCCCACTAATATACATATTTGTATATAAATATAGAGATAGATGATATGTGTATATATATATATAAATTATACAAATGTATATATATATATATATGTACGATTAATTGCAGTTAATTACTTTTGTATATATATATATGTATATGTATGTAGATTTGCGTAGATCAGCGCTTAATTTTTAGTACTTGGAGTTGTAGCTTGAGCCTTTAGCAAATTGTGGTTTATCACAAGATGGGTAAGTTGGTGGATCATCCTAGTTATAGTTACAACCGGCAGGTTACATATCAGCGTGTTGTTCTTGTAAATGATACGAGTAAGTTTGCGGACCAAGTGCCATATACTTCATATCGTTACAATTTATAAACTGAATGTATAATACATACAGACATATATATATATATATTTACATAAAGATCGCCACACGCATGATGCCAATAATTGATAACCATCGACAGTCGCCTCTGAGGATTAACGATGGGTGTGGCCAATACGATGCGTTCATTCAGGTCTGTATGGTGTCTATCCTCCGGTATTTTTTTCAAACTTCGCAGCTGGAAAATCCTCACCAGTGGAGGCTTGATCGGAAAATAATAGATGGATGGTGGATCTTCCATTGCCACATTTGATCACTGGAGAATAGTCGCAGTGCCGCTCTAACCAGTGTTTGTTTCAACTGACTTCAAACAGATTCAGCAATAGTGCTACAACTTTTATAAATCTACGTATGACAGGGTGCAATGATTCCTTCTATTAGTTATTTGCACATTCACATTTTCACTAAGGTATTAGGCTTTGACAATATCCTTCAAGAATGCCAAACTTTGTCTAACTTTCCACGTTTTTTCCCATTGAGAATCTACACCCAATTCACTGAAAATATCGTAGGTCTGCTCCTTGCCAAGGCGGCATTTTTGAGGCTGGAACCTATAAGACTTGTGCAATGATATTCCTGGTGACAGCCATATGGATTTTCAATGAATTTCAAAGGCCATAGGCGGCCATAGTTGCTAAAAGCCAGAGAAACATGCACAAGGCAATGGCAATGTCAATTTATTAGGGTCATTCCACCAGGAGGACACACGATTGCATTTTTTTGTCGTACGTTATCGGTTACTGTCTCAGACAAAGTTTCTAACATGGTTGTGCTATGTGTTGGGATGTAGCTGATCACTGATACGGGCACGTGGGATTGAATTTGCCGTTATCTTGTTCTATGATTGGGTAAAATTGACCCTTTATTTTTTATGTGCACTAAAAGGTTGGAAGCAAATGGTTTTCACTGTTTACATGTAAGAAGAGTGATTTGCTGCATGTCCTTCCATTCACTGTCAAGTTGCGATGTGAATTGATGTGATGTTCTCTTGATTACACAAGACTTGGTAGAATCCTTGAGATCTACACTAACATCCTATTGTATATGTGATTCTTTTTTGTTTCCTTTTCTGGTTGAGTTGAATCCGAGAATTTTGAGATAATACCCGCGTAGTCTTGTCAAGTTTCAACCTTGATATAACCTTTGCAAGTGCAATTGCTTGCATCCCCCATGATGTTGTGAAACCATATCCTTTATATAATTATACTTGTGTTTCAAACCACAATTTAATCTAATCAATCACAATAAATGTTCACGCTAGAAAGTGTCTATGGTGATGTCAAAAAGGGGGTTTGCTCTAGTTTTAGGACATAGACATAGATTTACTTTGATCATATCATTGATAGGTATTGTGAAAGCGTATGTATATATATATATACTGTAGATATAATTACATATTAGATACACATCGAAATTGCTGCTTGCGATGCATCTGCTTGCCATGCATCATGGGTGTACTTGTAAGCCGCCTTTGCAAAACCATTTGTAATTGGACACTAATTTAGAACCAAAATTATGGGCCTACCTCCACCCGTAGTACACGATTATACACTTCACAGACTTCACAGAATGAAATGAAACAATGAGCATCTCATAATGCAGCAGGAACAGAGTAAGCAAAAGGAAACATGGAAAGACATAAAAAAAACACAAGGCTATGAGTATAGACAATCGTAAACTCTCAAACCATGAGAACAAAATTTTTGGGCTAGTGCGTTCTACTCGACCAGGAGTTGTGGCATGGTTGCGTCGTTTGGAAAGCGCCCATGCCAGACCGGGCGGTAGCTCTTTGGACGCAGATGGTGCTAGGGGTTGTCAGATTGGTGGGTTGCTCTCCTTTTTGTTTCGGGTTGTTTGTGATCCTACCTGGGATGGGATAGCCTGGGATCACGATCGCCAAGTTATTTCTCATTTGTTTGTCACTGAAGTGAAGAACCAGTTCCTGACAGCGGTTTTGTAGCAACAAAGATGTTTTGTTTGGTCATTGCTCAAAGGTGCTGACAATATCTGACAATATATATAGGCACGGTCGAATTGCCTCACAGGTTTGGCTAAGGTTGGTTGTTGAAAGGGATGAACAATCTTTCATCTCTGCCTATTATACATATACAGATGGAGATGCAGAGATGCACATATGTATGTTACGTTGTACGTACATACGTGTACATGTGTATATATATATATATATAGTATCTCCATGTATCTCTATATGCACACATGTAGATAGATATATATATATATTTATATAAGTATGCATAAATGTATAAATAAATATTTCATACAGTATATTATATATGTGTTTGATTGTGTTTGTACATACACAGAGAAAGGGATGGCTCGTTAGATTTCGAGTTGCCAATTGAAGCCCCAGCAGCTATTCCCAATTGCGTCTCATCTCAAACGGTCCGAAATCTCACGTCACTGAAGTCTTCCCGAATGGTTTCCTCCCCCCAAAAAAATCATCCCACGGTCTAAAAGGATCTAAAAGGTATCACCAACTCCGCGTTGAACACCACAAAAAGCTGATTTGAAATTTGACATGTGAATATCCATAAATATTCATTACAGATACTAGGCATAAATATCATGTTTTTTTTGTTTAAGTAGGTACATATATTATATATAGAATACACATATACACAGACGTATAAAGCATAAATATCAAGGGTATTTCCCCACGGTCAACTTTCAGGCTTTGCGCTGCCACGTCGAAGTGGAGGCTCTGCCACAGCTCGTCTCGAGCGAAAATGGCACCGTGGCGCTGCAGGGCGGCGCTTGGGTCACGGCTGAAGCGAAAATGGCGCGGCAACGGCGGCGACGCTTTTTGATGTGGTAAAACCACTAAGACACTAAGACACCATCCCATTCATCAACAGTGGCGGTATAGTTCTAGTTATATATCCCATTCATCAACCATGTTGGGAATGATTATTCCATCATTTCTTCTCCGACGGCGTAAACCTCATAAAGCTTCGGGGATGTTGCTATCAGGGTTGATCCAAGATAATTTCTTGGTAACCAAAGCCATGGAATGGTACAGTGTGAATACTGGGGTTGTGAAAATCCTGGGCTGAGTTGAAGACATGAAAATGGGATAGCATGAATAGATTCTATATTAAATGTGGCATATATATATATATACATAGACACTACCCTCTCAATGTTTGTTTTTGAGATATTAAATGTATTTAAATGTAGGATCGGCATCTTTTTTGCATCGATCTGGCGGCTGATTTTTGCCTTTTGGGAACAAAATCCGATTTTTGGTTGAATGTTCACAGCAAAGAGAAGTAAAAGCAAAGTCAGTATAGCAACTCGCAAAAAATAGACAAGCATATGATTCATCACTATATATTTACTATAGTAATAGTATATATGATGTTGCTGTGCAACCTTTTTGTGGGTTGCTATAGTTTGCAGTAACTCTACAACGAACAAGTTTTGCTGGGAATGGTGATCGAATGGAGATGAGCAGCGGGTTGTCCAAGTTATTGGTCAGTCTTGAGAAGGGGAAAACAATGATGAAAAGGGGTACCCCAATTTTGGGAAACGGCCATTCGAGTCATGAAACTGTACTCAAATTACTTGGTTAGCTTGGAATCTTATATATATATATTCTGTTTACTTTAGTCGCTGAAAGAGAACTCATTCAAATGGCTTTTCTAATAGCTTAGACTTCTAGTTTTCAAGCCTAACTACTGAAAGTTTCCTGGTTGGTACTGTTAGTTTCGACAACGGTCCTCCTGTTAATCCCCAAAATGGGATGCTCCTGATGATGATCGTATCATTATGGATTAGCGTTAATTCTATTTAGCTTTCACTAATATGGATGTTTCGAATAAAATCGGGGTACCAACATTTCATCCAAAAATTGTTCATCATTTCAGTATTGAAACCCATGGTGAAACCCATGGTGAAACCCATGGTGAAACCCATGGTGAAACCCATGGTGAAACCCATGGTGACTTGGGGTACCCCATTTCAAGAAGCCCCCAGCATTGATGACGGATGTTTTGGTGTCGGATGGTAGACCAAGGCCAAACATCTACCTGGAGTTGATGCCTCTGAGGCGCGCTGTCCTAAGGGGTATGCATTTGATATATTTGAAATTAGGGGGAAGGGATTACTTATTTAAGGTTAGCCATATCGATGTATCATATCAAAATTCATTGAAATAGTTCATGTCAGTCTAAACCCACTAAAAATATTACTTCGAGATTATACCAGTAGTACCGCACAAGGCGGCGGCGGAAGTTTCAAAAATACCGCACAACGGCGTGCACTTTTTCCACATCTCAACTTCCAAAAGTGGTCCGAACATGTGGTGTTTTGTACATTTTGACTTCGAAATGTGCTTCGCGCCACAACGGCGTGCACTTTTTCGACATCTCAACTTCCAAAAGTGGTCAGGACCTGGTGTGTTTTGTACATTTTGACTTCGAAATGTGCTTCGCGCCACAACGGCGTGCACTTTTTCCACATCTCAACTGCCAAAAGTGGTCAGGACCTGGTGTGTTTTGTACATTTTGACTTGGAAATGTGCTTCGCGCCACAACGGCGTGCACTTTTTCGACATCTCAACTGCCAAAAGTGGTCCGGAGCTGGCGTGCTTTGTACATTTTGACTTCGAAATGTGCTTCGCGCCACAACGGCGTGCAATTTTTCATCTCTCATCTTGCCAGCTGGCTCCGCACCCGCCGCTTTAGCGAGCCTACTTTTCGACCCTCCGGAGCCACAAATCATTGGAAAAACACAGTGTTTCGCGACTTTCCCACCTTTTCGCGCATCTGCATCTTCATTCTTCTGACTCTTTCTCTTCTCTGACCTTCTCTCTTCTGTGACCCTTCCCACCTCTACTTTTCATCTGTCCATATTGTCGGAAGTTTGACTTCTAAACTTCCTTCGATTATATAACGTCTTAGTATGTCTTAAAGTTAAGTTCCGTTGATGTCGATGTATCCCCAGCCCTTCATGACAGGCTTCACTGCCAGTTGACCCTGGCAGCTCTGCGTTTAGACCTGGGCCTCATTGATGAGGCGAGCCGATTTTCGACAGGATGCCCCAGGAAAATCTGGTTCCATGGTTTCGTTTGGGGCTGTTTACTATGCACGGGGGGGGAAAGGGGGAAAGGGATCAGTCAAAACCCGATGGATTGATGACCCGAAATGTGAATTTTACACGTATTTATAGAACATGCACATGTTTCTTGGGATTAAGTCATCATAACTCATTAAATTGTCAATTCATATGTGTGGGGATTCAACTGATTCATGTTGTTCAAGGCTTTAACTATGAACAAATATGGGGATACCACGGATACATGATGGTTGACATATTAAGCGGCTATCACAATCCACTATGGGAAATCCCATCAATGAACCAATATATAACCAATGACAGAAAAAATTGAGCACTGCTTTAAGCTGGGAAAATCATAGTGTCAATTGGATTCATTAAAGATGAACATCCTTTAGATTTGCTGATGATGTCAATGAACATATTGTTTCCTCATTGGTCAAGGAATCGTCGAATCCACCTTTCCAACAAAGATTTCTTTGTTCTCTGGGAGTCCGAAGCAGTGGCAGCCAATCTGGCCATAAATGATAAATTATCATAAATGAATATCAGTTGACTACCAGAGGGATGTCAACCACATATTGGAATCAACAAGTGATCGTAACATATCATAAATGCCAACACACATGAAACAAAAACGTATAGTGCTGCTAGATTTACATCATTTCAAAGCCCGATTAACAAACCCATGGGCTGTTGATCATTATGGGGTATCATTTTAGCAGCAGATAAGCTCACGATTTTGTGGGCACCCTCTACTGAACCAACTAGGGTAAATCTTAATCCGGGGGTCAGCACTACTGCCAACAAACACATCCATCTATGTAGGTAATGTACCAGGACCACAGACCGCAGATAGTCTGAGTAAGTATATAAGTGGGATTGACCCCAAAAACCATCAACAACTTGGGTTTCATCACCCCCAAATGTGGATGTTTGTCAAGTTTGGGGCCTGACCAATCCACCAAACTGAAACGTCCGTAAATGGTGGGAGATTGTCTTAACTAAAAAGGTGGGAAAAAACGTATGTATGTCATAGTTTTCTCTATGAACATATACATACATATATTACATTACATTACACTACGCTACAGTACACTACATTACACTATATTACATTACAGATTACATATCATATATATATATATTCCGTTAATAAGGGAAAATATCCCCAAATGGCCGAGCCATTTGGGTGAACTCCGCCAGCTTCCGTTCTCTCCCAGTCTATATCCCAGGACTCAATTGAGATCCCCATTAACTCCCACTAAAACCCATTGATTACTCCACACTAAACCATTGGCATGTACACAATGTGTCAAACCTCTGAATTCCCGTCTACCCCGAGCCTGACCTCACTGAGGCGTGCCAACTCTTACAAGATGCGGAGCTTTGCATGACCAGGTGATGTCATCGCATCAGTGGTCTCCCTTGGAAGCATCCCCTTCATATTGAGCTATCTCATTCCCAGCGAATAAGTATCCACATGTTTGGTGCTGAAGGTTCTGCTGAAGCTAAGCCTACTGATTGTTGTTTGTGTTATGTTTGGTACATATATATATATATATATATATATATTTGGCTGGAGTCACAGTTGCTGTCGTTTTTTTCCGCATCCATTTGAGTGTTTTCTTTCCTGGCTCTATCTTTTTGGTGTATGTGTTTTGAGTGTTTGTGGTGAACAAGGCCAAAGACACTTTGCTTCAAGCAGATGCCCGGTGTAATTCCTCAAAGGGCTTCAAGTTGAGGAATCATGGGTTCAAAAGAGCAGCTGTTAGTAGTGATTGCAGCTTTCAAATCTCATGTTTCTTTTCCGCATTTCTTTCCGAAACAGTTCACAGCACAACAGAACGGGGCCACACAAAAAAAGCCAAAACAGTAAATGACCTTCAATTTTTTGAGATCTTTGGGTTGACCCTTGCTCCAACAGAGACCATTCTGCTGGTTGATTATGCAAAATTGAAACCGTAGTATAGTTATGTATAGTTTGATTTGGAATAGTTCATACCCAATAAAGGCATATAAATATAAATGCATTTTTTGGCCTGGCATCCATGATTGACTGTGGGATGGGGGTCCGCCATTTGTATTTCAAATCACTTGGATCGCCCACCGCTCAACTGATGGTCATTTTGTACACAAAAAAGGTACCACCGTTTAACAGTACCAAACAAAATGTGGTCAAGCAGTTCTTGCTGAAACTAGACACGTAATTTACGGGTCTTTTGAATAATGTATCCGTGTTCTAATAGGTGCATTTTGGGACAAAGCTGCACACAGAAACTTTGCAGGGAATGATGAAGTGATCAGCGCCAGGGCTGGGTTTCAATCCTCAGAAAAGAACACAACATGTAGGGTGACCAGGAGCAGCTAAGATTTGGATGATCCGATGATCCAGGTAGGACAGTTTGGTTTTACCGTATTTCTCGGGAATAGCTCAGTTCAAAAGAGGTGCCAGGGCCGTCCAGGGCCCAAGGGTCGAAGTGTCGGAGCAAGGCGATTGGAATTCCCACTGCCACAATTTTGGTCCAAAGTTCTATGGTCACATCCTTGTTGAGCAACTGCATTAAAGGCTTATGCAAGGTGCATAAGGAGTATGGTTGGCTAGATTTCTTGGGCTAATTTTCTGCCATGGACAAAGGAAGTTTTTTATCACACGCTGGAACGCCGCAAGACCGACACGTACTGCATGATGGTTTTGCATGGACTCGTGGTCTGATAAAACATGCGGGACTGCAAACATACGTACGGTTCAGGTGGCGACCATTTTCTGAGGAAACCTGAGCACTAGCGGGAACCAACAAAACAGACCTGGAAATTCAGCACGCGTCCTATCTTGAAGATGCACGAGCACGTATCAGGCAGGCGCGCTGCAAATCCGTAGCCGAAATCTGTCCGAAAACGTTCGGAGTTGACTTGTGTTCTGGCGCACACTTTTTGCGCGATCACAACAGTAATTGGCCACGTTGCTGGGGACTTGCAGCCACGGGGTAGATTCCTTTGCTTCCGGATTTTTGCTTCACAAAATCTGTACCTTGTCCCTGGCTTTCAGACATAGCTTGTTGAGACTCATGCCCCGCGAGAACAATCAACTTGTTTTTTTCGAACGCTATAACACCATCAGTGACACCCAAGTAGGGCTTGACGCCTTTGTTACCAATCCCTTCTGGGTTCAGGCCGTCGGTTTCTTTCATGGCCTGCCAGGTGCGTTCACCTGGTACCATGGCAACATGCGCAGTTCTGCTTACTCAAATTGAGGCGGCCGTCGGCAGCGGGGTTTGGTCACTGCAATGTTTTTTGTATTGGGCATAGTTTGTCCGTAAGTGAGGGAAACGTAGGTCTACCTGGCGCATTTTTTCCATTGCCCTGGCTTGCCCTCTTGCAATCTCAACTTCTGAGTATGGTTGTATGCAAACATGCAGCCAAGAAGGACAAACACCTTTGCATGCCTTGGTGTCAGAGAGAGATTTGTTTTTACTGGATACGGTTGGCCAGAGCATGTGGCCAAAATCACTGAAATGTTTACAATATTACAATATTTTACAATATGTATAGGCATGTTGTGTTTTTTTAATGTGAAACTAGATTTACATTTGGATCATGTGGTTTGGCCGAACATCATACCGTTAGAAATTGTTGGCCACAAAGCTTGGTTGCCAAATCGCATGGCAAGAACATTTTGTTGTTAGAAAATGGTCATAGTAGAGGTACCGATGGTTCTCGCGGATGTCAGGGACATGCATTTCAAAATTCCACATTTGCTGTGGGTTATTGTAGTAAGCTGATGAATAAAATACCGGATCGTCACTTTCACCCGAAGTAAACGTATAAACCGTGCTGACTTGCTGTGGACCCATGCAGATTGCAAATCACATAAAAAATCATACAGCCATAGTTTTGGTTACATTAAAATATGGTCAGTTGCAAAACAGTACAATTTTCATGCGCCAAGACACTATGTGTTGGCTGTGAAAACTAGATTTTTAGTGGTTGCTGAAACTACAGTTTAGAAATTGCATTTTCAACGGGGGACCTCCAGACATCATGGGGGTTCAACCTCTAAAACCTTTCAAAAAATGAACTTTTCAGCTTTGCTTTTGGACACCTACTCCTTAGGTGTGCTTATTATTTTCCCATGATCCATAAATATGTTCAACATCAAAACTGTTATACTTTAGTTTATCGGTTTCTATCGCCCAGAAAATGATGCATTTTCTTGGACTTTCAATGCC